ATTCTTAAGCGTCTCTTGGAAGATGATGGTCTCAAAAGAACTGAAAATTTCTGATCTCACTAGAAAATAGGAGTGTTTTTTGTTGTCTTGTCTTGGTTTGTATCTTTTGCTTCTCTTATGTAGATTGTCAATCTAACATCTTTTATCCCTGTTTCTCACCAGGTAACAGTCGTCAGTCAAATGAAACTTGCAATTTTGCTCTGGCACAGTTGAACCGCAAAAACGTGAAAAGATAACAGCAGAAGCTTAATCATGGGCTCAGCAACAGTAGCAAAGAAGGGCTCCCACCAATTCCGTTCAACTATTGAGTGACGAATTGGAGAACAAATCCATTCAATGGTGAGGCGTGTGGATCCTTCCCTAGATTTATTCAGGTTGTCGTTTTTGCTTTGACAAGATTTGCAAGATTCTAAATCAAATGGTTAAATAGCATTTTCAACCCAGTAGTGAAGACTTAATTGAAATTTAATAATAACATAGATGACTCAAGAACTAGAAGTTGCAGGTTCCAATTTTCGGTTGGATTATGGTTAATGATTTGTTTAATGAATAATATGTTAGTATTACTACCTTGTTAATTAATTTGCTATACTGTTGTAAGATAGCTGTATAACCATCAATTAGGAGATTGAAATTAGGCCACAATTAGGGAAGCTAGATTCAGGCTTGTAAATGTCAACCAATATTACTTAGGTGGAGAGCAACATGGGCATCACATTAAGGAGAGATATTTTAGGCAATCAATTAGAAGAAGGCCAATTTAAGGCTGTAATTGCCAAAAGCCATAATTAGAAGACAATGGGCATCAATTAGGGCTGTAATTTAGTAATTTATTCCCAAATTTGTGGATACTTCAGTCTATTTAAACCCAATCAGCTTGTGGGAATTGACAAGCAAATTTTCTATCAAAATTCCATTGAAATACAGCAAGTTTGTCACCGGAGAGTACCCATTCTTATCTAGAATCTCTAATCTATCTAAATCGCAAGGGAGAACATTTGAATATACCAAAAAAGTACATGGTTAATACTTTCTTATTTCCCAAAAAAAAAAAAAAACAAAGGACTAATGCTTTTTATATATATTATATAACAAACTAATCCAACTTTCATCTCATTACCTACAAAAACTAACCTATTCATGCTTTACACTTTTTTTTCTAACTATGTATGTTAACTAAATATGAATGTATTATATTCTACTTTTAAGTGCCTCAGCTTGTTTTTAAGTTTACAATGGTGGGGCGGTTCATGTTTGGTTTTTAGCAGGGTTCAAGTTTATTCAACTTGAAAGGATTAATGTCTCAGAATGGTATCTTAAGGAATAGTAGGTATCAAACGAGAGACCCTGCCCCTGGAGCTTCGCTCAAGTGAGGTGGTGTTCTCAATGGATATTCCATTGTGTAAAATCCTTTTTTTATTTTTTTTTTTATTTTTTTTTTATTTTTGGGATTGAACTAGAACAATCAACCACATGGTCTTGGAATCCTTTTTTAATTTGAACTTAATCAGATCAGTCAACCCCAATAATGGTATTCAATTAACTAACTTTTCATCATTGTCTATATTAAGTTAGTATATTGATGCCAGGTACAACTTTGACTGCGCTTTTTTTTTTTTTTTTTTTTTTTTTTAACAATCTCCTGATTTCTGGATTGTAGTGATGAACATATGTAGCCTGCGCGGGTCCTTTCGTTTCTTGAAGGACTTCTTGGATCTCTCTCATAGCGTCTAGAGCCATGGTTCAACGAGTTCGTGCTTCGAATTGTTCTAATTTTTCTTCTCCATTTTATATAAAGAGAAGATTTCTGCACTCTTCAGTATCCAGAAAACGCGTCTTGTTTCTAACAGTTTATGAACATTGAATTAACCAGAAGTCACCAAGCACCAGAAGCACAAAGAAAACATGTCATAGCGGAAAGAATTGGATGCGTCACACTATAGCATGGATCGACTTGTTCAGGTCTTAAATTTTCCATTGAAGAAAAGTGATCAATTGATGAAGCGGTAGTTTGTTCAAGCTGTTTCTATAACATCTCTGCTGTTAAATTACAGACATGGATTCTGATGGTGTAACTTGGACTAGTTTGGGGGTTAATGGTCAAAACGTAATACATATATGCTTCCCACTTGGGAAGCTTGTGGGATCACACAGATTAATGCTCTATCAAAATCACAGAATGGAAAAAGATTACCCCATGTGCTTGTTTTCAGTTGAACACTCATAATTTGTTGTCCATTAGTTTCATATAAAGTCTCCACTGCACACTCGTTCACAGCAAATAATGGGTCTCCTCTACTGCCATCTATTGCTATAACATTAGCATCATAATACCCAAGCTCTTAACTGTTGAACCAACAAAAAATTAAGTAAACAATTTCAAGTTTTAAGGAGAAAATTAATTGTTTGATTGCATAACGAGATGTAATATATATATATATATATAAATTTAACAATAATAAGAGAGGTTGAAGCAACTGAGAATATGGACGTAATGGTGGGGTCTTGAATGTGGGTGTGTCTGACCCTAAACGTAATGGGATCCACATGGAGTCTAGCTATGGGTGGCCAAGATCATGACTATGCAAAAGTTCTCCTCCATAGTCCATAGTCCATAGTAAACGGTATGGTGATGGCAAATAAGACCTAATAAGAGGATATTGCACAAATTCCTTAATGTGTAAACGTGTGGTCTCCACAAAGGCACTCTCAGTGATTGCAGAGAGAGGGGTACTAACTACTAAAGGACTTTGAATTCAGTGCTATTTCTCAGAGTCAGGGAGTCTTTCAGTGAAAAATAATTAATAAAGAATGTGCTCTCTGATCAAAACTATTTCAGTGTGTTTATGTGTTACCACTGTAATGCACTCATCTCATTTTATCAGACCCAATTCGCATTCTTTTATTTAATCTTTTCAAAACCACATCTAAATTTATCCATTTCAAGGCTTTTCTCTCTCAACTTGCAACATCCATTTACAAGGATATTGCTCAGTTCTACCTTCTCAAAGGAAAAGAAAAAGATAATCTCAGTTCTATGTCCATCGCCTGCATTAAGACAATGTCCATGCATTTGAACTTTCACAATCTACTAAGCCGAATGAAAAAATTTACCTGCAGTTAACCTGAATATTCATATAAGAATAAGACTTACATAATAATACAACCCCCGAAATCTGTTGTTTGATAATGAATCAGATTTCACTTTTTTGCACCGTTCCTTTTTCATGTTCTCCAATAGAAACATGAAAATCTCCTGGCATTGCACGGTTGTCGCAACAAAGCTTTCTCTATCTATCGCAACTACGCAAATGAACTGGCTGATGGATATGATCACCAAGAAGATCCATGGTCAGGATTCTTCTTCCTCATTGGATTCCGATGATAACAAGCCCTTGAAGATCGACACGGTCAAATAGAAGATATTTCTTCTCTCTAGAACTTAGAAGAAAGAAACCCGTCAACAATTTCTTGGATTCGTAAATTATGTCGAAATTAACAATTAAGTCCCTCTACTTTTAAAAAATAACTGTAAGTATGCTCAATACTTTTAAAAAATAACTATAACCTACTTAAAGGACTTATGTGCTTATCTTATATATAACTTTTTTTAAAAAATAAATATAACCTACTTAAAGGACTTATGTGCTTATCTTCTTATATAATTATATATTATATATATATAATATATATATATATATATTATATAATATATATATTATATATATATATATATTATATATAAGATCTTTAATATAAATTTTAATATAAGATCTTTATATAAATTTAGTATTTTCATTTTAATTGTTAGTTGGTTTTTAAGATAGGTTAGTCTTTGAAATATAGTTCTCTCCAAAATTTATGTCTGAATATGTTATCAAAATTGAATTTAAAATTTAAAAAATATCTTTTTTTGGATTTGACTAAATAAAATAAAGTAAAATTTATGTATGGCTAAATATATATATTATTCATTAAAGTTTCACATTTAATTTTGAGAATTTTCTAAATATTACATTGTATGTAGGACTTTATTCTTCAATTTTTAATACGTCCACAAGCACTTGTTTTTAAGATAGATATTTAATATAAAGTTAAGTAATTAAAGTAAATGAAATAATATTTATAATTTACGATTTAAAAAAAAAAAAAAAGCATTATGCTTTATCCTCTTAGAACAATATTTTAGTAATTAAGACCTGAATTTCGTGATAACAGAAAAATTAATTTGTTTATTGTTGATTGAATTAACTGACTTCCTACTAGTTAATTATTCTAAAAATAAATTACTTCTTTACAAGTTAAAATACCCTTTTTTTATTTTAATAAATAAATAATTTTGTAAATCATTTTCACAGGTTGAAAAGAGTGTCTTTACCGAAACTGAATGATCATATATTTTATTTTCCTAATTAAGGTGATATCTCCAATTTTTCTTTTTATTTAATAATTGCTCGACAATGATATCTTGCTTGGATGGATTATTTGAAGGTTCTAAGGATAAGGTAAGGTAATGCTCTCGAATTATTTGGCAAGAGGATTTTTCTTTTTCTTTTTAATTAAAAGTAACATTGTGTCCTTTTTTTTTAACACAACTAATTTCAATAAGCAATTCCATATTTTAGTGATATTGTGTTCAAAACAAAATGATCTCAAGTTTGAAACTTTTTTTTTTTTCCCTCACTACGAAGTTTGAGCCATTCATTCTCTCATTCATTGTGTGAAAGTGAAACATATGTTCTTTCTTTCACTTTTGCAGTAAATGCCTTACAGTTTACACTCTTGTATTGCATTTCTGCTACAGAATCCAACACCCCAGGCAGTAAAAGAAAGAAAAGAGAACGCTCCCTCTCTCTCCCCCCCCCCCCCCCAAAGAAAGAAAAGAGAACGCTCCTCTCTCTCCCCCCCCCCCCCCCCTAAGATTTATCAAGAATCTCCGGGAGTCATTTTCCTGTCTGACTCTCATGACGACCAATGGACCCTTCACTTCCCCCTCTCATCCCCCCCCCCCCCCCCTAAGATTTATCAAGATCCGGGAGTCATTTTCCTGTCTGACTCTCATGACGACAATGACCCCTCACTTCCCCCTCTCATAAAGATCAACTTCTCTTCCTTATATTGTGCAAACCCCTTTCCTCCCTTTTATTTTCATCAAATACAACTCCAGCTTCTGTCTCATTAAATATTTCTTGCTAGCTCACCCTAGTTGCAGTCATAATGACACCATATGTACATGTATATAACATAACTTCAGATTTAGGGTTTCACCCTTATGAATATATATATTACATCTGCTAACTTGAATTAATTGCATATATACGCATATGCTATTTTCTGTGACATTGACTATATTAATTCGCAGATTCTGCCATCCTTTTATTATCTGATGCATAAAAGCTTTCTGCGATGCTTGCAAAAGAAATCCAAAGGTAAATTCTCCACTAATTTATCTGCTGGATATCTCTTTATCCATTTTAATTTTGCTTTGTCTTTAAGATGTTCATAATACAAGCTATATTTGGTTTCTTGAATCTTTAATTACTTGATCTCGTCTCAAGGTAGAAAATTGATTTAACTTCACACATACACACACACACACACACACACTTAATCTTCTATAGTTATAATAGCCTTTGGGAGATTAACAGGACTTTTGAAGTTTCACTTTTCATGCTAATTTTAAGATTAATGTTGACAAGAAACTAAAATAGAATAAGTTGAGTTTTCTTTCTTGATTTAGGTGTTTGACCTATTGAAATCTATTTTCAGTGACATATATATGTACTTTGCCTCTTATCAAATCAGTTTCTTGGGTTCTTTGTTTTTCTTTTCTTTGTTCTTTTTATATGATATTGTGAGCAGGCACATAAGAGTATACAGTCGTAATGAATGGGAGTCACTAAAATTACCATTATTGTCATTTTTGGTAAGCAGTTGCTTTCTGGTTTATGTCTGTACAGTACTTCTGCCAATAATTAATCTGCTCCTGAATAAGGAAATGAGAATTAATGAACCACTCTTGTTATCGCATTTGCATGTCTGTGCTTTGTCTTTTTATTTTTTAAGTTTTTTCAGTTCTTTCGTGATTATAAATGTATGCCTATTTAAAGAGTTGATGATTCAGGAACTTTAGTTACTATGGAAATTAATTTGCCATTAATTAGGTAAAGTGGTTGATCACCATTTGTACTTCTGTTATAACTGCAAAGTGCAGAGTTGAAGAGAAAATTGCGTAATGAGTCTGGAAGTTTTAAAACTTGAGAGATTTCTACCGGAGTTATTAGGTTCATATTCTAAATGGGATGAAACTTGAAAGGAAGGGTGAGGTTATTATGGTACTCTTTTGAACTCTGATGTAGTAACAAAGATTTTAGCTAGTTAGAATGAAAGAAGAAATGGTGTGAGAGAGCTTCCTTCAGCCCACTCATGGATAAGGGTAAAGGGGCTGAAGTATCTGCCGACTCATTCATTCAAGCACAAGTAGACGACAAAGGTATAATCGCTACTGTGATTGTGTGAATGATGCGGGAGATAATTTTGCATCCCTCCTTTTCTGTGCTTGGACTGAAGGGAGCTCCGTCTGTCCATTACCTTTTATTCTCTTTTTTTTCCCGTTTCTTTTGCAAAATGGATCAACATCAAGTTATAGCTTACTTAATTGATTGCTTTACTATCATATATTATATAACAGTACTGTCATAGCGCAGGCCAGCTCATCATGTTCTTCCTTCTCCCATCTTGCAAGTACTGATTCTTTTCCACCACATGACTGGTAATGTTTTTACGCACACATATATAAATATAGAATAGTTACAATAGTACATGTCTGACACTTATGCTTTAATGCTTTGCAGGGACCCAAACACACATCACGAAGTACCCAGTAATTAATGGACATGACTGTTGGTTGTTACTATGTTATGCATATATCTCACTATATTTTTCGCAGGGTAAATGCATATAGAGTGCAGTGTAGATTTCTTTCTTTTCATGTCTCCCTCATTTCTTTTCTGCCAGCTGCTATGTATAGTTACTATTTTTATAAATTTTCTTATTTAATATGTATTTGTATGCAGTTAGTTAGTTCCTTTTTCTTTTTTCTGTTTTTTTTATAGCTTTCCTATTAATTTAGGCAATGACACTGTTGATGATAAGCTATCAGCTGGTATTTTGCATATGTGTAATGTGTGTTCTTGTTTTTTTATTATTTATTGGTGCGTATATATATATATATATATATATTTGTCGTGTCTGTGTGTTTTGATTGGATTCCAACTCAAATAGGAAGCAGTGGCAGTGCGCACAGTAGTGAGCAACATGCGGCCTCCTCATCTCGAAATTCGGACTTTCTCTTCTTTTCTTGACGGGGTTTTTTTGATTGTTACTGTTAATTCATTGAACCAAAAGTTTCTGGAACTGCATACTTTAATACCTAGTGGTGCATTTGAAGTACTGAAATCGATAAACACAATTGAATAGTATTATAAATGTCTCGTTGATCATCTTCTTTGTTCTTCGAGGGGAAATACCCTTTTTTTTAAAAAAAGAAAAAAGATTCATTTCAAACTGCCCATTATAATTAATTAGGTCTAGTTGCAGTAGCTTCCACTTCCTTAAATATAAGTGCTTTGTTTAAACTTTAAAGCTTAAACTTGACCGTTTGATTATGTTTGGAGCATCTTTCAGCAGATATTTTAACTTTTTGATGATTGTTTATTATTACACTGCGTTACGAAGTAAGCATTGGAACATGTGATATATTGCTAAATATGGAGAGTCATAAGGCTATATGTGTTCTTAGCTTTCTTCCTGATTTAGCAAATTCAACTTTGTTCTTCTGTTACGGGAATTTTATGTGTGTTTTGGAGCTTTTTTAGTAGACTACAATAAGTCGACATCTATGTGTTCTTATTGAATCTATCTGCACTTTCGAGTGATTGTGGTCCCTAATTTTCCTTCTTCGAGCCTACGTCAATAGTTTTTTTATATTCTTCAATATTATGATGTCTTTTTTTATTCCTAATTAGCTTTGACTCAGAAAAATATCTATTTAATCCTTTCATTGTTATCAAATTTATGTATTTTTGGTTGAAATTACATAAATTTAGCCTTTCAATTTTGTTATTTTAATTTTGTGACGCCTTTTAACTTTGAAGAAAATCTATTATGTTTTGAAAATTATGAATTTTGATAACAACATACACTTTTCATGCCAATAATAATTTTTAGGTATTTAGCTTTTATATTTGATGTGCGGCTAATTTAACTCTTAAAATAATAATTTTCACAATTTTCAACCATCTAAATTAAAGTATTATATGGATTAAAGTAAAAGTTGAGGATGTTATAAGATTAAAAAAGAAAAAAAAATTAATATGTGAATTTATATATTATGTCATTCTATTTACCTCAGCTCAATATACAAATTGACATATAAACCTTATACAAAAAAAAAAAAAAAAAAAAATTTAAAAAAAAATTTAAAGTAATGTGAAATTGTAATATATTATCGTCATTCTAATTTACCTTCAGCTCAATATACAAAATTGAACAATATAACCTTATAACATAAAAAAAAAAAAAAAAAAAATTTTAGTGGCACAATTCAACATACTTCAAGTTGTAAAAAAAAAAAAAAAAAAAAAAATTTAGTGGCACATTCAACATACTTCAAGTTGTGAAATCACATCTATTCAACATTACTTTACAAAATTTTAACAAATTGGATAGATATTCAAGTGTAATACTCTATGCTTTTTTGAAAAATGTATCATTGAACAATGATTTTAATAATAGGTGTAATTTTATAAATTAAGAATTGTTTGATTTAATTATTCGCGATGATCAAAAGTTAGTGGTTAATAATGGTTAGCTGATGAATATTTGTATTTAGTAAATGCTTAATAGTAATTACTATTTAAATATAAAATGTTCGATATCTATATATATACACACATGAGGAGATGATCTATGGGAGAGAAAAACTCATTGAGACTTGAGAGATTAATTAGGTTATAATAAATTATTTATACATTTCTATATTTATTAGTTTAATTCTACACTTATATTAATATAAGCGTAAGGATTAATTCAAAATAATATTATGAAAAATATGTTGAATTGTCATAGCTGGAGACATGAAATCTCCTATGTGACATGTCTAAATTTAATTATACATGTGCAATTTTGTGTATGAATGAATTATGTGGTAAGGCAAATTTTACTATGCATGTTATTGAAGAATACAAATTTTGGTTTGCACCTTTCTTAGTAAATAGATGCCTTTTAGGCTTACTATGGATTTTAGGAGTCTTGTGCTTACACAATTGTAGTACTAGTCTACCCGGAAGAATGAATTTTAACGTGCGGTTAAAATATAAAGCCATATATTATAAGATTTAATAAATTCCATATCAAGAAGAGAGGTAAAATGGTTAAAGGAGTGGTAAAAATCACTATTAACATGAGATTGAACTTAACTTTAGTTAAAGAAAACTTTTCAATTCATCCTTCAAATTTTTACATCACTTGTAGAACGTGTGTGTGAGTTATGAACGCTCAAAGTTCAAAATTTTTAATGAATTACTTACATTTAATTTTTTTTTCTATAATTTCGCTTTAATAAAAATTGCTAGAAAAAGGAAAAAAAAGTTATTTAAACCATGAAAATAGTAAATGTAAATTTCAATGTTTGTGAGGGATTAAGAGATTTCAATGGCCAAGTGCCAGCTGTCAAAATGCAAGAGAAGACAAAAATAAAAGAGAAAATAAAATTTATTGCAGGTTTCGGAACGAACTAGTCATTAGATCTATTTCATGTATCTTAGATTTGGGTATTGTGATTTGTTAAGGAAGAAGCGAGAAGCAAGGGAACCACTCACACTCCCTCTTCATCCCTATTTCGATCCAAAAGGTTATGTTCGTTTGTGCTCAATTTCATTTTCTAACTTTATTAGTCTTGCTGTGAAATGTAGATTATGAATTGAATTTTTGTTTCCTTGATTGCTTTCCGTATTGATTTCACCACTCCTGAAATGCATATTTTCTGTTTGTGTACAGAAATAGTGGACTGCATCATCTGACTCAACAGTTTCTGTTAAAATTAGAGAAAATAATCCAACTTCTTGCTCCTCAACCTTCCTGTAAGTCTGTTTTCCCTTCTTCTTCTTCTTCTTCCCTTTTTTTTTTTTTTTTTTTTTTTTTTTTTTTTTTTTTGTTTTCCCTTCTTCTTCTTCTTCTTCCCTTTTTTTTTTTTTTTTTTTTCTTTTTTTTTTTTTTTTTTTTTTTTTAGAAAAATTGATTTTTTTTTTTTTTTTTTTTTTTTTTTTTTTTTTTTAGAAAAATTGATAAATCCGACTAATTTCCTCTGCTTGGCCAATTTTCCTTTATCTTAGATTGGTGCCGTTTTCTATATCAAAGTTGACTAGTTGTGGTTCTTTTCACTGGTTCTTGAGGAAGATAGCTCCTTTTAGTGGGATTTCAGCTGCAAGTTCTTTAGTAATTTGTAGCTACGATTTCTTTGTATAGCCCATTTTGTTTTGGTTAATGCTAACCTCTGTTAAATTGAGTTGGCATCCTGGATAGATGCTCCTATGCTTGCTTTCTTTCATAATATCACAGGGATTTTTTTTTTCCTTATTTTTAAGTGAAGCTGAATGAGCAAGATATTAGTAATGATGGAAGAGAAGAAATACTAATGCAGCTTCCTCTGATCTCATTGAATATCAGCTAAAAGAACTCTGTTGAATCCTCTGGGATCAGAGAACTCTAGGTGGATCTGAAAGACTATATTGTCTTCGACAATTCTAGAGGCAAAAATTCTCTTTAAGAATTCCAACACAGCAAAAACTGAACACTGCATGTCTAAAGTCCAATTCCTTTACCTGCCAAAGCATTGATTGTTTATTCAATAAGCTCTCAACTGTTTCCGGATTTGCCTTATTGTTTTCATAACTACCATATAATTGACTCCAAATAAGTGAAGAACCTGTGACGGGATGTCAGTTCTTTACATTGATCGCAGTGTTCGGATATTTTAACATGTGGATATAAACCTAACATTTTGCCATAAGCTTGTTCTTACCAATTATCATTCATACAGTTATTATCTGTTGTGACAGAGCTTTACCTGTGCTGCTACAACGTTGTTTATCCTGTTTCCTATGGATTCCTTCTGTTTTTGATTGCTTCAAGCAAGCTTTACTGACTGCTTCTTCATCCCTCATGACATCAACTGTTTCATCTTCTCAAGGATTTCTTCATCCAATAAGGCATGGCTCCTTTGAGCCCCCAAATATAAATTCTTCTGGATCTTCAGGTCAGCCTCAGCTAGACAATGATGTAGAAGAATTGCTCTCTGCGACTTGGAATCAGGACTATGGCTGCTTTGCTACTGGCACAAACCGCGGGTTCCGTATTTATAACTGTGAGCCTTTTAAGGAAACTTTCAGACGTGATCTGAAGAGTGGGGGGTTCAAAATTGTTGAGATGCTGTTCCGATGCAATATTCTGGCACTTGTTGGTGCTGATGGTAATTCTCAGTATCCTCCAAACAAAGTTTTGATCTGGGATGATCATCAAAGTCGGTGCATCGGTGAATTTTCATTTAGGTCTGAGGTTCGTGCAGTAAAATTAAGGAGGGATCGAATTGTTGTTGTTCTTGAGCACAAAATATATGTTTATAGTTTCATGGATCTAAAGCTTCTTCACCAGATTGAGACTCTAACAAATCCTAGGGGATTATGCTGCCTTTCTCACCAATCAAACACATGTGTTTTAGCTTGCCCAGGTCTTCATCGAGGACAGGTTCGAATTGAACACTTTGGGCTGAATGTCATGAAGTTAATTAATGCTCATGATTCTCATCTTGCATGCATCACCTTGACAATGGATGGCCTTCTTCTTGCAACTGCTAGTACAAGGGGCACTTTGATAAGAATTTTCAACACGATGGATGGGTCTCGCTTGCAAGAGGTAGCTTGTTGGACGATATGTCATGTTTATTATGAATACAGTGGTTATATTAAAAGTTCACCAAGAATTCTCTCCTATTTCTTAATTAGGGTTGAGAATCAAATATGTAAAATCGTCACGATTCACTAATAACTTATAAGGCATCCCCTACTACATAGTAGGTCCTTGGTTTGCAAGGGGAAGATTGTTATGCTAAGAACAAATAAAACTGATAAATTAAAGATCTTCAGCTTTTCAGTTTATTGATTATTGAACTCACGATTCACTAATAACTTATAAGGCATCCCCTACTACATAGTAGGTCCTTGGTTTGCAAGGGGAAGATTGTTATGCTAAGAACAAATAAAACTGATAAATTAAAGATCTTCAGCTTTTCAGTTTATTGATTATTGAACTTAGATCAGAAGCATTGGCATGTCTGGCAGCATAAGAAATGGAGTTGCTGAGATAAAATTTTAGTCAGTTCTCCTATCTGGACTTATGTAAAAACGTTATTCACGAGTGCACAAGGCCTGACAAATATCTGGCTGGACATGATAAGTGGATATTCGATTCACATTTCTCTTTTTTTTGCACAGTGTCTTACTCTACTGTTTAAAACAATTGTATATGATATAGACGACTAAGTCATCTTCTCAAACTGATATCATAAGCTCTTCACCTGACTACTTATTGCTGTCAGTCATGGACATCTAAGTAAAAAACTTGCATGTATCTTTTCCTGATGGATTTTAGACTAAAAAAAAAAAAAATTGCTTCCTGTAGGTGCGAAGAGGAGTTGATCGAGCAGAGATTTATGGCATTGCACTCTCTCAGAATGTTCAGTGGCTGGCTGTGTCAAGTGACAAAGGTACTGTTCATATTTTTAGTCTTAGAGTTCGCGTGGCTGGGGAGGATTCTTCCTCTCATCCTATTCAAGGTCCATCACTATTAAACCAGAGTTCTTCAACTTCCCTGGATACTCTTATTTCCCTCTCATCCTATTCAAGGTCCATCACTATTAAACCAGAGTTCTTCAACTTCCCTGGATACTCTTATTTCTCCAAGCACTAGTTCCAATCCTGGTTCATCCTTGTCTTTTATGAGAGGTAAGAAAATTTTATCAACACTTTTTTTATTAAGCTTATCATTGGACTTGGAGATGAAATCTGTAATGCCTTTTGCATTCTTTGTTTTGTATTTTTCTCCTTTAAACAAATGTCAAAAGATGTTTACTGACTTCAATACCTATGAGCTGCATGATAATTTGCAAGGTGTAATGTGATAGGTAAGCATATGATATGTAATTGATACTAATGCAAAAAGCCTAGAACATTTGATTTTGAATTCAGTTATACCTGATGATAATTGCTAGATGAGGTCCAAAAACTCACGATAACAATCTGAAATATAATATCTTACATGATGGTAATTATTTTTTTTTTCATTAACATAATGTTCTGTAACACTGGAGCACATAAAACGTATCCTTCCCAAAGCATGTGTACCCAGGATTTATCTTTTCTGTTGCTCAAATTGTAAGTCTCCTTTATTTTCTCTGATCCTTTCTTCTGCCCGCCGCCTCTCCTTTTGAGGTAGGGAGAAGAGATGGGAGTCTTATTTTACATCTGATATTTCCCTATGAATTTTTGTTCATTTCTTGAACAAGTCTCATCTTTCTGATACTATTGCAGTGGTATTACCAAAGTATTTTAGCTCTGAGTGGTCATTTGCTCAGTTCCACTTGCCAGAAGACATCCAATTCATTGCTGCATTTGGATCCCAGAATACTGTTATTATTGTTGGCATGGATGGAAGGTATGGGCTTATTTTGTTCTCTTAATTGCTACAGATTTTCATTTGCAATTGTATTCCTCTGATGCTGGCAATTACATCAGCTTTTTGATAGCTCATTAAATTAAAATTAAAAAAAAAACAGTGGGAAAATGGGTTCCAATCTTGTCCTTGTCACAAAGGTTAACCTCTGAACCCTAGCTTACAGCCTGCGGCGTATCCTAAACTGACTCCCATTTTTTCTCTCTTTATTAAAATTTTGATTCTGTGCGTGGTTCAGCTTCATGATTACTAAACATTGCCCTTGAACATTTCGTTGAAAGTTATTTGTCCCTGCCAACCATGTATTGGGATGTTGTTTCTAATAGTTGAGGCCATAGAGAATACAATGTGTGATATTTGGTTTCAGTACTACTTTCGTCTATGGTATTTTGGGGTGTAATTATTATCAACAGATTTTTAGTGGTGAAAATAGCACAGGAATATATTGGTGAACAGTAACAGCAAGAAAAATGTAGTGTTTCCAAACAGTTATTTTGATGGACTGTTTCATTTCTAACAGATTTCTCCTCAATTATCAGTTTTTACAGGTGCAGCTTTGATCCTATTCATGGAGGGGAGATGTTGCAGCAGGAATATGTCCGTTTCCTGAAAACAGCGAGCAGGCCTGGATAAAGCTACCATTTTTCATGCCCACAACATATTATTTATGCTTCTGCACGTGTAAATATATGGATCAATGTAAATAGTGTCGTATGAAACATTACATTTTTGTCATTTTTACTGTATAGCATAAGAGCAATGCTGTTCCATTAGGTTGCTTTTTGGTGGCCATAAATTGTGGGGCGTAAATGGTCCATTATTTACTGAAATTTTTTGTTGTGAATTTCAACAGACTATTTCTTTCAAATAAACAAATGCATTACCTTTTACAGCTCTAGTTTTAACAGTTTAAGGAAAATAGGGCTTTAGGATAATCTGAAAAAATTGCAACACTGAAGCAGTGAAGCCACCTAAAACTAACACTAAAACTAAAAGAAGACGACATAGATTAGAGCATACCAATTCAGAAATCTAATGTGTGATTCTAGGGGAGAAAAAGCTTTCCCAATAAATCCCAGTTTCAAAGGCACGAAGAGGAAGTGGAATGTGCCTAAACCTTTTCTTTTTCAGCTCATAAAAGAGCAGAATGTTAGAAATGGAGCTGAAAACAATTTCACCATTGTTAAGGCACTTGATTTCTCCAACAAGTTTGCGATCTATTCCTGCAAGATTTATTAAGCCTCTTTTCTCCCACAGGCACTTTTGGTGATCCCTCAGCATCCATACTATTATATGAGATGCCGAAATCTCAACCATGCACAACATCCTCTTTTCTCCCACAGAGCACTTTTGGTGATCCGCTCAAGCATCCATAACTATTATATGAGATGCCGAAATCTCCAACATGACAACAATCCGCACTTTTGGTGATCCCTCAGCATCCATACTATTATATGAGATGCCGAAATCTCAACCATGCACAACATCCCGCCGAGATCCGCCAGCTGCGTCGAATTTTGTGCAATGTATCTCCAATCAGCTGGATGAGTAATGGTAAAGAATTTCTCCTCTCTAACGTTGAAAGAGACAACATAATCGTTGCTCCTCCTTAGCACTCGATGATGATACCGATTGATCTTCCAATTGATGGTTTCCTTGATAAAAACCGGATAACTGAACTGCTCGACAAAATATGGGCAGCCTTCTTTCAGTACTCTCCAACCGTTATCAACTCGTCCTCCAAATCCAATGGTAAAGACAGAGCATTCTATCTTATGAGCAATGGAGGGCTGAATTACACGATGAACTAACTGTACCACTTTGTATCCCTTAACTGACCCCGCATAACCGAACCCAAATCCTGATATCGGTGTGCGCTGCTGGTAAGGATATCTAGGCAACGGGGCGAGTTGGCGGGTGGCAGGGTTACATAAGTAAATGCGGGTATTTGTAGCGAAACAAACCAATCCGCAGCAGCTGGGTAGCACGAGCTTAATTGGATCATCCACCCTTGCAATGAATTTACTATGCACCATTCCACGATTGTCTACCGAAACGAATTGATAAACAAAGCGGCGAGTAGCATCCGCATGCTCGTCATAATAGGGGGAGGTGGATCGGAAGAGAAAAAGGAGATTTCGCTGCGATCTTCGGTTGTGCAACTCTTGGAAAGAAGGACTAGAAATCAGGTTGGTAAAAGATTTTGATACACTTTTGAATCGAATCAGAGTCTTAACGTCAAGTCTTGAGAGAATTTCTTGAATGATAATTGGTGGTAAGTATGGAGCCATTCTTCTCTTCTCCAACTCTTCAATGTTCCTTCAATTCCTTCCTGAACACTGATCATAGAGACTACCGGAAAAATACATACTCTTTCCAATAAATATTCAACCCTAAAAGACGAAAAGAATCAAAATCCGCTAAGTATATGGCAAGTTATCTATTAGTACCAAATCTAAAGAATATTATATTATATAAGAACCATACCTGAGATTTTCCGTGCGAAATAAGTATTCCAATTCCAATTGGTCTTGTTATTTCCACTTGTAGCTTCTAGTAGTTGAAATGAGAATGGAAGGTATATAATTCTTTTTTTTTTTTTTTTACACATTTTTTGACACTAAGTTGAACTATAAGAGTCAATTTAATAAATGTTTATACTTAATAAATGATATATATGCAGGATTTCATGTCAGAAATTGTCCGTTGCAAAGCGGTATTTTCTTCAGTCGGTAATCATAGGTATTTGAAAGCCTATTGAGCTACGTTTGGAGAAGTGATGTTTAAATACATATAGCTTTGTGTGTGTATACATATATAGATTTATATATATAGTAAATTATTTTGATTGCCTGGCATCTAAAACTTCCAAATATAAATCAAATTACTCACTTTGTAAAAACAACAACAGTTTTGCTGAAATGAAAAGCCCAAAATTACCTTTTTCTTTTCTTTCTTTAAAGTTAAATACAATAACTTCCATGCTAGTTCATTTCTTTTTTCTTTTCTTTTCTTTTTTTTTTTAAATTTGCATAAATATGAATGATATCATTGGCTACACAATTGAGTCTTTCTTTTTTAAATAATTTTCATCAAATTGATAAGAACTCTCTGAATAGTTTGATGAAAACACAGTGGAAGAAGAGACTTGAACTTATCACATCTCACTTTGTACACCTTCCTTAAAAAGGAAAGGTAAAAGGGGAGTTTCTTTGCTTCCATATGATTATGGTGAAACTTATCCTCAGAAATATATATTATCATCACGCATACCATCAATAGGAAAGCTGGCGACTGAAATTTTATGCATAAACTATAATTTTTCTTTACCCTTCTATTATATCATCTCTTTGCACCAAAAAAAAAAAAAAAAAAAAATTATATCATCTCTTTGCCACCAGAAAAAAAAAAAAAAAAAAGAAATTACGAATACTGCAAATAATTGGTGACCTATAATGCTTGGAAAAAAAAAAAAAAAAAAAAAAATTACGATACTGCAATATTGGTGACCTATAATCTGGAAAATAGTTTTGGCTTGAAAAATTCACCTTTTACCAAAATTAAGAAGCATATACCCGCTCAATGCATAGTCCTTGGCATTTAGCTTCGTCACAGCTCACAGATAAAGAGCAAGAAATATACAAATATTGACATCTTACAACCATCGTTCTAAAATGAGCTGTGAGCAGCAATCTGCATTATATGCTTTGTTCCAGTTTATTCTATAGCAGTATTTAATTGATTATTCCTTTATTTCGCAGTTTATTGTATCCTTATTCTTTGCCAACCATTCTGAAGTGATCATAGAAACTATACTGATTATACCATATAGTTGTCAAGGGTTGTGAGGAGAAGATTCTGACAATCCAGCTGAATCCTGATCCAATTAAAGCTTAGATCTTACACTTCTTTCATCATCAAAAGCAATCATCACCTTTCCAATAGCTTTCCTATCTCTAATAGCAGAAAAGGCGAGACTGGCCTGCCAAGGACATTTCATCGAGTAGGTAAGTACATAACGTGATACATCTCTTAGAAATAGGATAAAAAGTTATAGCAACAATCAAGAAAATATTTACATGTATGCCTCTCTTAGAAAATTATGATAAAAAGCTATACCAACAATCAGGCCAAGTATTTATATGTATTCTTCATCTACAATCATATGCAGGTTGGAAAGTTCAGGATTAATTGAATATAGGGAATCAGCAAGTTTGTATTCGTACAATGCACATTCCAAGAAAACTACTGATAGATTTCAGCTTAAAACAACTTCCATGATTACCATAATAACAGGAAACCATAACTTTTTATCATCCCAAGAACAGGTAACCAGTCAGTGCCTATTTCTAAACTCAATTATCTACACTATTGTTTGGCCTTGGTTGCATGGAGGTTCTGAGTAGTCTAGCGTATCATAAACTTGGTGCATATACCAATGCTCACTATATAAGCAACACTATAAAATTCTGTTGCATCTTTTCTTTTCATTTTAGGAGGAGGGCTTGTTGTACATTTGTAGGAAGTGCCCCTTGCATCCTTAGCCAAAGAATGTTACTGTTTTACCAAGCAATGCCCTTAGAATAGAGTTCTAAAATATCATGTGATGTTTCTTTAAATGGGAAATCATTACAGCTATGCATCTTCTAGAAAATAGTTTGCTCAATTGAAGAAAAACAAGAACAAAGATTGAAATCCAGACCTCTGATAGTCTGTATGTATGAGAAATGTGGATCGTAATTAGGCCCTTTTCCATCCAGGAAAGTAGCTCCTTGAGAGAATCTTCAAGAACAACTGGTTGATGTATTCTGTAGCTACCCCAATAAAGTCCATGTATGGTCCAGTTCTGGATAACAAGGAAGCAACATTCATTTATCAACTTTGACAAAATATCAGTAAAAACATTGTTTTGCTCAACCTCATAAACTAACACAGACAGACAAGCTCATTGAAAAGGGATAAAAAAAAAGACTACATCTGGCTGTCTTTTCAAGCATGAAAATCTCATATGTAATATGGCTGGCAAGAATGTAAATTATAGGTAATCCAATCCTTGACTAAATGAATAACTAGAATCTAAAATACCTTAACTAGAGCAATATTAGCAGGGATGACAGGTATTTCCCCACTCGCAAACCCAATGACTAAAATTTGAGCACCCCAATTCAAAAGCTTCAAGGCTTCTTTAGTGAGCTTGCCTCCAACAGGATCATACAAAACATCAATGCCTTTAAGCTTCCTTGTCTTGAGGAAGTTCTTGACACTTGCAGTAACGTTTTCTTTGCTCGAGTCTACTATATGATCAACTCCCAATGACTTCAAAACCTCTATCTTTTCAGCTCCCCTATTATTAGTTAAAGTGCAATAAAATTATAACATGTTTAGCTGAGAAGCACTATAAGTACACAAAAGAAGTGGAAAGGCAAGTACCTAGCAACGGCAATAACAATGGCACCGCAAACCTTGCCAATTTGTACAGCAGAAAGGCCAACTCCACCGGCAGCACCAAGAACCAGCAAAACCTAGAAGAATTGATCGCATTGACATGCTAAGGTTAACCATCATTCCTGTTTCCTATGTGTATGTGATACGTCAGAGCTGATAAGCAGTTTTTATAAGCACCTGAGATGAGGTCAAGCGAGCTCTATTTACAAGAGCAACATGGGAGGTTCCAAAAGCGACGGGTAGTGCAGCAGCAGCCACCAGATCACACCCGTCAGGTACTCGAAGCCTTTCTTGGAAAGAAAAAAAAAATCGAAGTAAGGAAACGAACTTAAATTAAACAAAAAAAAACTGAAATTGGAAAAGAAGTAAGTTTACAGTTGGGATTGATCGGCGACGATGAATTGAGCAAAGGAGCCAAGGGAAGCGAATGAGCAGACGCGGTCGCCGACCTTGAAAAGGGAGACATTAGGACCGACCGCGTCCACGATGCCGGAGTAATCGGAACCGGGGATGAAAGGCAGGGGAGGCTTCTCTTGATATTTGCCCAAAATCTGGAGGTAATTGGCATAGTTCAAGCTCGTGGCTTTCACTTTCACTCTGATCGCGGTGGGGGACTCCAGTTGTGGGATTGGATGGCTTTTGCTCAAGACTATCGGGGGATTCTCGTCCATCTTTCCCACTGGATCCCCCAATCTTTTACACAGCAAAGCCTCCATTTTTAATTTCTCGTACTCAGTTATCTGCAAATCTAGACAGTAACGGAGAGATTGATAGATATGGTACCAATTCCAATGAGAAACGAATTTATAGGCTTGTGCCGCGATGATTACGACAAGTCGTTTCTGGAAAGTGACAAAATGTATTCTTCAAACCCAACACCCCCACCCCCACCCTGGTTACCAATCAATGAGAAACGAATTATAGGCTTGTGCGCGATGAATTACGACAGTTCGTTTCTTGAAAGTGACAAATGTAATTCTTCAAACCCCAACCACCCCCACCCCCACCCCCCCCCCCCAAAAAAAAAAAACAAAAGAAAAAAATCCTTCCCCTCTTCTGTCCTCTGGCAAAAAAAAAAAAAAACAAAAGAAAAAAATCCTTCCCCTCTTCTGTCTCTGGCTTCCCGCTTAATATCTCAAAGCCCTTCTCTGCTATCGTTTGCTTTGATCTAATACTAACAGTAATAGAAACCAAAATGAGTGGATTAATGTGTCAGCAGCTGTTATTCCTTTCGCACCATTACAATCTCAGTCGTTCGATATCGAAAAATAGTGGCAGCAGCCTCAGTTCTCCGGATTCTCAAGTTGCATTAGCTGTTTCTTATCCAAAACTTCCGTATAATAGATTTCTTCCCCATGCTTCTTCTTCTTCTTATTCTGGATCAGTCGGCGGCTCGGGTATCGATTCTAAACTTTTCTCATTTGTATTTCTTCCTTACCAATCACTGGGCTTCTCTCTTCTCTCTATTTTAGAACACTATTATTGCTTTTGAGATTTCGTTTTGCTAATTGTAAAAAACTACTGTTTTAAATCTCTAGAACGGTGGTTAGATTCAAAAACACAGCAGAAAAAGAAGAGAATTGCTGGAATTGATCAAGATGAATTATTGGACCCTATACTTTTAGGTGATCCAGACAGTTGTTTTTGTGAGTTTAAAGGTATACACATTCACTACAAGTTGTCTAGTGCAGAATCACAAAATAATACGATTTCTCAACTTCCTCACTCTACTTCTCGCGCGATTGGCTTTCCTATCATCTTATTACATGGGTTTGGAGCTTCTGTTTTCTCATGGAGCCGAGTTATGAAGCGCCTGGCAGATGTCACTGCCTCCAAAGTTCTTGCCTTTGACAGACCTGCCTTTGGATTGACGTCAAGGGTCGATTCTTTCAAGCATTCATCCCCTGGCAACGATGATACGAAGCCATTGAATCCATACTCCATGGCATTTTCTGTGCTTGCTACCTTGTACTTCATTGATTTCTTGGCAGCTGACAAGGCCATTCTGGTGGGGTAAGCCATCTTTTTCCCCTCAATTGGAAAGTTTAAACTGTTATCTTTCTCCTTTTTGCTGTCTTCATTTGAGAAATACACATGAACTGCTGGTTTCTGTTCAAGAGGTTCTTGGTATGGTTGATTGTTCTCTAATCAGTAGTTTATCTGACTCACTTTTGCAGTTTATATACAAGCTAGTGCTTTAATTTGTCATTCATATAGCTTTATAAGGCTTGCATATTATAGTCACCAAAATGGTTTGTACTCAGCTAGACACTAGAGACTGGAGCCATAAATGTATTTGACCACCAAATGGAGTTCGCAATCCTGTTTGTGGACAGTCTGTTCGCCTTTCTTTTTGTTTTGTTTTTTTTTTTTTTTTTTTTTTTGTTTGTTTTTTTTTTTTTTTTTCCCCTCTTTTTTGTTTTGTTTTTTTTTTTTTTTTCCTCTTTTTCTCTCTTTCAGTTTTTGAATTTCATCTTTGAAATTAATCCCTAGTTTTATTCTGCTGAATGTTTGCAATTTTGAATTTTATTCCATTTACCTGGTTATTGATAGCTGAGTATCTCATTATATTCGTTTTTCAAAATTATATCTCTCTCAAAATGTTAAAAACTTGACGGTCCAGGCATTCTGCTGGTTCTCTTGTAGCTGTCAATACATATTTTGAGGCTCCAGAACGAGTTGCAGCTCTAATCCTTGTTGCCCCAGCGATACTTGCCCCTCGTGCTACTCATAAGGTTGCTGCAGGGGATAAACCAGGGGGAGATACCCAGACTGAAGGAGACAGATCAAATTCAAGTAAAATAAAAAAGCAAGTTATAAAGCTTTTCAAGATTTTGTCAAATATTGCAGCATACATCACCAGGGCATTAATAAAAATGGTTAAGGGAATGTCGGATATGCTTAAATCTTCTTATAAGAAAGTGCTGTCAACTATTTTGCGCTCTACCTTTGGTGTAATGCTGGTATTGAATTTCTTAATCAACAATCTCCCATTATTTTATTTATATTGTCTCTATACTCAGTTGATTCAGTTCATTCGCGGGGCCTGCCAAATTGAAAAATCATAAGACTTTTTATCCTTGAAAAATTCTCTAATGTTGATCATCTTCAAAGCTGTTATCCTTAGGCTGGGGATTTCTCACACCAAGTTTGTGACTTATGCACATAAGCGCATATTGATTCTGTATATATTGGCCATCAATAAGGGAAAATGACATTGCTAAGTGCCCTTTCATATTTTCCCTTTTTTTTTATAGACTATAACTATACAACATATGTTAGACTATATTTATGCTTGTCATGCCTATGTGATGAAGACTTGCACATGTGATTTATCAGATAAGGATGATAATTGATAAGTTCGGAATAGCAGCAGTAAGGACTGCATGGTACGACTCAAATAAAGTCAGTGAACATGTTCTAGATGGTTATACAAAGGTAATCTAATTTTACCTTGTTGTTTTCTTGTTGCCTTCCAAACTGCAGAATTTAATACTGAATTATAGGACAACTTAAGCAGCAATACTTTTTATTACCTGTAAATCACTTCCAAACTGCATGGTACGACTCAAATAAAATCACTTTTTATTGATTTGGTTGATATTACCTATAAATGCAGCCATTGAGAACTAAGGGCTGGGACAAGGCTCTTGCAGAGTTCACCGCTGCAACACTAACAAGTTCTGAGTCAGAATCAAAGCCACCACTGTCAAAAAGACTTCATGAGATCTCATGTCCTGGTAATAATACTAACTCTGTTTCATTCCCAGTTAAACCTAACATCTGGGAACTGGTTTAGAAGTTCTCTACCAGAGTCAAGAGCCAAGAAATTAACATGGGGAGTTAGAATGAATTTAGCTTAATGGTGTTATTTAAGTTTCCAATAAATAAGGCATGGCAGCTTGGCCTGTAATCTGGATTGTAGAAAGGCAGTTTGTTCTTCATTGATCCATGTCACCATGAGAAAAATGCCTTCTGATAAGGATTCCTCAACCTGGACATAATTTCTTGCTTCAATTTTCTTATTGATTGCTAATCTGTGCTGTTGTTCTTATGACTGCACCAATGAGAGGACTGGAATGAAAGTGAAGCCAACTGGTTAGACAATTATTAAGGGTGTTTGGTTTGGCTATACAATTTTAGCTTTTGATTTAAGATGAATTTTCTAATTTATTCAATTTAAAATTACTCAATTTTTTAATTTAAATGTAATTTTTAAATAGATTAAGTGTTTGGTCTATAGATACTTAAAAGTAACTTAATTTATCACAATTACTAAAATGGATGTACTAATTAAATACAAATTCTAAGAGTTTGTTAAGAATGAGGATAGTGTTAACATTTCTAACAGTTACCATGGTAATATAGTATTTTACTTGGTCAAAGAATAGTTCTAAAACTAATAGATAATTAGAAGTAAAGGGTAATAGATAATTAGAAGTAAAGGGTATGTTGCTTTATGACTTCTAACTTGTTTTAAATGGATTTTTTAATTTATAAGACAAATCAAACACTATTTTACTTATGACTTTCTACTTGACAGTAGGGTTGACCGACTTAAAAGCCAAGCCAAACACCCTCTTAGTATTAGTAGTTTGTTGATTGGTCCATATGCAAACACCAAACAGATTTTCCATTTAAGCATTAACACAATAAACAACGAATTCCTATCTAAAGATTCTCTCTCCTTTTCTTTCTGATTCACTTTAATTTTCCCTCTCTTTTTCTTCCTTTCTCGCTCACCAAACATCTAGCTAGGCTAGGGTTTGTAACATTTGTCTAGCATCAATTTTTAATCCCTGAATCCTAATTATAGAATGTAATGGTGATCCTTGTCATTTGCTTGATGTCACGCAGTTCTGATCATCACAGGTGACAATGATCGGATTGTTCCATCTTGGAATGCTAAGAGACTTTCACAAGCTATACCCGGATCTTGTCTTGAAATAATTAAGCATTGTGGCCATTTGCCCCACGAAGAGAAGGTGGAAGAGTTTGTTTCAGTAGTTGAGATGTTTCTAAGAAAAGCTTTTGGTGATTCAAGGGAACAATCTTTGCAAGTAGTGAACTGAAATTTTAACCTGAACAATACATCAGTTTATACTTGTGTTCATGATCTGGTAAGTGTAATAGATAAGAACAACTTCAAAAATTTATATAAAAGGTGGCATCGACTTAATGAAATGATGAAATGTACGGAATCAAAGTCTATGCAGGAGTTTCCACTTCTTCTCTCGCTCTCTGAATCTTAGAAAGCCCTAGTTATTCAAGGGATGGACTGTTTCTTGTCTCTGGTGACAGCCTCTCCCTCTCTTCCTCTTCTTCTTTTTCATCTTTTTACATTTTTTTTCTTGATTTTCTGTTAGGAATGATCATACTAGATAAAATGTGCAAGTAGCAGAGGTTGGAGATAAAATGAGAGGACGCCTGAGATGGTATGGTCATGTATTACATAGACTCCTACATGCTCCAATATGTGATACCTTAGTAGTAGAGGGTGCAAAAAAAGGAAGGAGTTGACCTAAAATTGCTTGAAAGGAGGTTCTCGTGAAGGATCTACAGTCTTTGGATATTGGTGAGGATATAGCTATATACAGAATGGAGACAAGATTCATCTAACAGACTTTAGTTAGTTATTGTTGCCTATTTTATGCTTTGTTCTATTTGTTAATATATCAAATGATTTAAAAATTCCTCTTCAAAAATTTTTCTTCAAAAATGTTTTTCTCTCGGAATCATGGTGTCTGTTATTTGCAGAACAGAGTTCTCACTATTGAGGAAGGTGGAAAATTTTGAGATAACCAACTCAATGTTTTCATAGCATTTCAGCGTGTTACAGGAAATTGTAGCACCCTTCCTTTAGAAAGGAGGCTCTACTGATATTGTTAGACTAGGATCAGGTAAGCTTGAAGGAATATCAAATCCTGACAAGAAGTCATCACCAAAAATCACAGCACCAGCAGCCACAGCTCCAGCACCAAGTCCCATTGCCACACCAGGTCTTGCTCCCATTCTAGAGGCTGCTGCAGATGATGGCATGTTTATGTAATCAGTATTTGGAAGAAAAGTAGGTATATAACCAACATTAGAAGGCGGTGGTGGCGGCGGTGGAGTGCGTGGTGGATGATAGCTTGGTCCAGCTGCTGCGGAATAGCTTGGTCCACCCATGGATGGATTAGAGTAATTTGCAGGGTAGGGCATTGGATGCGTATAAGCAGAATCGGAAGATCGATTTTCTGGTCGTCGAAGTGGAACAAGAGGCAGCTCAGAGGGATAGCCTTGCCCCGATCCACCTTCAGAAGACAATGCACTATTATTGCTGCGATCCATCAAAACAAGTCCCCCTTCATCGCCTGTAAAATTAAGAAGATTCAATTTAACGCTTTATAAAGAAAAAGAAAACCAATGAAACACCCTGAAAAGAATCTGTTGTCTCAAATACCTGTGTAGGAACCGGGCTCTCCCCTGTCCTCTGAGATGCGAATATGGATATCTATAAAACCTTGCGGTTTATTGGAATTTCTTTTGCGCAGTTGGTAGCTCCCGACTTCTTCTTCTTTTCCTGTGGCTGAGTTCTTGCTATACTTCGCCAGAAATTCTTTCAAGCCAACAGTTGCAGTGCCTTGAAGTCTTTCTCTGAGGAAAATGGGCTCTCTGCTGTATACTTCAACATGCAATACCATATCTTGGAAGTTTGAGTCATCAACCAAAGTTGCAAATTTGGTTTTCCATACGGGATTTGCATTCCCTGAGGCATCAATCTTTGTGCAATATTTGTTGTTAGGATCAATCCATCCAACTGCGAACCACTGAAGCTTCCAAAGGGATGAAGAATGTCGGAGCCCGCGAGCAGATATCAGGCAAACTTCAATCCAGATTTTACCCATGAACGAAGGCAACTGAGAAAACGCAAGAAATGGTTGGGAAGTCTGTTTTGTCCTTTGTATGCCTTTTCTTTCTTTTTGACAAAAGTTGATATGGAAAGGATATAAAAGTGAAACTCTTTGGCGTTATCCTTAAGGCTGCTTTGCTTTTAGGGAGACCAAATTCTTATACCTGAGCATAATTAAAGGGTTGTCTGTTTTACAAAGTGCATCGCAGATAGGCAAGAATCTGTGTGCCACAAGAAATCATGCAAAAGTCTAAACTAATGAAGACTTTTTGCCTTAGTATTAATAATAAATTTTTCTTTTTTGCAATATAAAGGATAAATTTTAATATTTTAATAAAATAATAGAAAATAAGTTATGAAGAATATTTTTCAAAAATAAGTTATCGTGCAGAAATAAATGAAGCCTTAGGTTTTCTATTGCCGCGCACTTGGCAAAAAAAAGTGTCACTATTTGATGAATATTTTGCTATATAAATGCATGCTACTTATGGTAAATTTACAGACAATTAATTGGTATAGTTGGTTCTTTCATTTAAAATTGTCAGCTACATATTAATTTTTCTATATTTGATTCTAACGTTTACATGTTGATTTTTTTAAATTCAATTGTAACGTTTATACATATTTTTCTAAGAAAAAATTTAATACATATTTTTATATATTTAGTTGCAATGTTTCTCTGTTATTCCAACCCATATGATAAATTATTTTTACCTTGGCTATTAGGGTGAACTTGTTAGATTATGCTTTAATTAAAATTGAGTATAAAAAAAAGTGTCATTGGCTCATTTTTAGTAGTAAAATTAGATGAAGTAGAAAACTACACAGTTAAACAATAGATTTTATGAAAATTTTTATATTGAATAAGTGCAAGATATGATTTCAACATAAAATTTAGAATCATTTTAATCTTAATATTATGATTAAATTACTAATACTTGAACTAAATTGTTACGGTGATAACTAATATTTATATCTAATATTAAAAAAAAAAAAAATCATATTTCAATATTAAAATTTAATATAAAAGACATACTGAAAGATTAATATTTAAATTCAACTAGCCTCATATTTAAATTTATTATTAAGAAATCCTAAATCAGAAGTATGAACAATAATAAGTATAGACAAAAGTGCAAAACTCATTTTTAAAAACTACTTAAATAAATAAAAGGATAAAATGTTATTTCATTACGAAGGGAGCCAATGATAATCACCTAAAAAGTCCAACCCCTTGTTTGCTGTTCCCTTTTTCACTTCCATTCTTAGATATTGTTTCCACAGCCGTAAGTTTAATATTCACACTCTGCTTTCTCTCCTGTTCTACTAATATTAGCACTTGCACTGAACTCTACAATTTGACACTCTTCTAAGGTTCAAAGGGCTTTCTGATCGGTGGAACGAGTAGAAGTCTTCGACCTGCAGATTTAACCATCTGATCACCTTCGGGATAAGTTGAAACAGCCCTGGCATACATCATTGTGGTGGAACCCAATATGTCATCCCCAAATCCACATGCTTTGAAGAATAACCTTACAAAAGTTCAAGTAAATCATATCACCAAATAACTTGGGGAAAAAAAAAAAAACATTAATATAAGCATCAAGCATGGATACCATGAAAATACCATCTGCAACCCATATGCAAATTGCTTCATTTCTATTTGCCTTAAGCAGGAAAATAGAAAAGGAGAAGAGAAGAAGCAAAAGACTTTCTTCATTTGGATAAAAAGAATAAGGTGCTGCTATACAATTACCTCTCATTGGCAGAGCAAAGGGCTCCAATATCATAAATGTCTCTGTTTGTGAGCATTCTGGAAGGAGAAAAGGTAAATTTCAAACTCCAGATGATGTTGTTGTTGTCATTATTTTGCAAAGGGCTCTTATTCTTTAAGGAGGGGTGACGTTTAGGCTGCATACAAAAGCATAGGAGGGTGTGTGTGTATATATGTGAAAAGGTTGGATCATATGAAACAACACACAAAAATAAAAAGTAGTAACTATAATAATTAGATAGTTCTAAAGAAGCCAGAATAACTGAAGCATTAGACCACCATAGGATCAAGAATTCAACAAGAGTTATGTAATAGCCATTTGAACAAACATCAAATTTATAAGTTGGCACAAACAACAAATATTTATACTAAGGAAATGGCAATTTAAACATTTAGGAGAAGAAGATAAATGTTGACTAACCTTATAATTCTTTTAACTATCATCTTCCCGATTCCCATTCTCCTTAATGAAGGTATAACCTAGAAGAAACTGTACACAATTATATCGATAAATAGTAGTAGAAATTAACTATCTAGCTGAAGGTACAAAGCATAAACAACATGCAATGCAACTAGTATAGTCTATGTAGTAGACCAAAACAGGCAAAGAAGAAGCAGAATCTTTAAAATTGATGTGATGACTTTCAGAGTTTGAGACACCCAATGCAAATTACACCGAAGTTGCATGGTTGTTACTCCATCTTCATCAGTTGACGATTGAAGAATTCTCGAAGGTTCAAGCAAGAAATTGGAAAAGTCTGAACTCAGCAGGATTATATATAAGCATGAAACACTGGATAGCCAAATTCAACAATTAGCCGAAAAATAGAGGCAAAATGGTGAAAAATTGGTCCTTTCCAATTACCATGACATCGTAGATGGAAGCAGTCAGTCCGAAATCAGAAACCGCGCGGCCAAAGCCCACCAGTTGACCGTTGGAAGGAGAGACCTTAGGCAGAGACAGAGGCTTGGGCATCAGTCTCTGCAACAAATTTCCCAAACCCATCAGAGGAGGAGTAGGGTCTTGTTCTTGTTCTTGTTCTTCTTGTCTCAGTTGTTGCTGATTATTCTCAACAACATCCCGCGGATTGCAGAAGACAGAGACGAGAACTGAGCTGTGGGAGAGAGCAACGGAAAGCTTCTTCAAATCAACTGCTTCAACCACAATTCCGCTATGGTCTATCTCCGGGAATCGATGACAAGAGTAATTACAGGCGCTGTAGAGCTCTCTCAGCTGCTGGGTGTTTATGTGGGACGGGCTAGCGGAAATGTAAACGGGAATTCTTGTCGATTTCAATTTCGATATCCTTCTGCTTGCCCATCTTATTTCCATTGTTTTGCCGCCTCCTTTCATCTGCATGGCCACGGCAGCAACCTCCATCTTTCTTTGGCTCCCCTCTGTGTGCCGCACTGGTCCTCTCCTTGCTCGTATAAGGGGATAGTATTATGGTAACATTTGAACCAACGTAATCCAATCAAAATTTAAGGTTAGAGTTACATAATCAGGTTGAGTAGATTGTACTTTTCTCCATAAATATTAAAAATTAAAAAAAAAAAAAATAGGAAATAAAACAAATTATTCTCAATTTCATATTTTTTCTGACTTTTTAATTTTTCTTATCATTTAAGAAAAATATTTAATATTTTCTTTGTAAAAAATGAAATAAATTAATCTTAAAATCAATTTATGTTCTACATTAATTCAAAAAATTAATTTAATTCAAAAAATTAATTTTGAACCAAAATAAAAATCAGTAAAAGTTCAAAAAGCATAATACGCATCTATCCACACTTTAAATTATTTTCTATCTTACATTAAGAACAGATGAAAAGTGAGCGGTACTCCCAAGTTCCAAAAATTGACAAGCGGGGCATAGTAAATGCAGTATTTAAATACTACACAATTATAAGCTGCATACTGAAACTGAGCCAAGCTCACAGAACTAAAATCCTATGAGACTGAGGTCATTTGTTTTTTGGCCAACTTCTGGATTTCATCAATGGTTTACATCTTCAACAATGAGATTAATATGAAAGAAACCATGTTTCAGCCAGATGCAGACCCTGACACCATATGTGGATACGCATGCAAGAACCATCAACGGAATACCCACAAAACTCCAACTCCTTGCCCCCAAAATGCTAGACCATGCACGATAAGATGATAGAATAGGAAGAGCAAGGAATTTTTCTTTTTGAAGCCAAATCTAGATTGCATGTGGCTTCAAGGAGAACGGATTATTGTTTCAGAATCATCTCATCAATGGAACTTTGTATCATTTGGTTTGCTGCCCCTAAATGCTGAAAGAGAAAAGAATGACCTTGTTGCTGGAACAGAGAGCATAACATAGGATATTAGCCTATAAACTCACCACTCGAGATGGGCGAGGGAAAAAAAATTAAAACAAAGAAAGAAAGAAAGAAACTAAAATTACTCGAACAAAGAGAATAGAATAGATACATTTAAACAAAAGTTCCAAGATTTGGAAAAGAAAAATACCTTTAGCTGTAGAAGCTGCAGTTGAAACATGGCCCTTCTGCAGCTTTTGAGAAGTCTGGGCATCAAATTTGATGAAGTTTGATTGAGCTGCATTCAGAATATGCTTCACTTATTCAGCATGATAAAGGTACAAAACTGAGTCCATTTTCATTTCCAAACAAGTGCACACGCAAGCACACAAACAAAAGTAGATGCAAAGAACAAGAAGCATGAAAATTTGATCATGAATACTTATTATTCTATAAAACTATAATCATCCACCTCTAATTCATAAACCAAATATCAGTATGAAGGAAATGAGAGAAGCCAAGATGTGAAAATTACCAGTGAGAAGTTCATGAGCATCTATACTTTTTTCATGGCCCGTGAAGAAAGAAGCATTTTGTTGTCCATAATTCTTTGAATGTAGCGATGTCTTCCTTAGCATATTATCAGTGCTTCTCTTACCAACGGCTTTGCATTCATCACCGTCATCCTCTCCTTCAGAAAAGACAGATGGGCTAGACCAGCCTGTTAAATTTGCATCCCCTTTACTTTTCCGGGCAAATTTCAAGAGCCTCTTTAACCCTTTGGGGGCATCTTTTTGATAGACAATGGCAGGAGGATGCTCAGCATTTCCCCACTCAACTGTATCAGGTTCACTACTGTCTTCTTGGAGCATCTGTGACAAAGAATGACGAACGCGTGGACTTGACAATCCAAGAGGTGAAACATGAACTGGAGAAGCAAGTTGAGAGGTACCATCAGCATATGAGCTATGGACGTTCTGGTGTTCCTCTATTTCCTCCCATGCAATGGGGGAAATAACTGATTCTTCTTGGATCTGAATCTTCGCTGAAGACTCTATTGTATCTTTGAAGCTGTCATCAACATCAGTAGTGAGCTCATTGATATTCTCAGGTACATCATGATTCTGATGACTATGGACTGTTGTTTCTGTATCCATAGCAGTATTAGCATGGTCCGGTGCAACAATATCCTGATCTTGGTGCTGACTTACAAGATTTGAAGCATCAAGAACCACATCAATGTTTGGAGTTTCTGTCATATTCCCACAGTTTATGGGAGATTCCTCCAATACAGAAGAATTTTTTGTCTTGCTTGCAATGGGACCAACACCAGGAGCAACTCTAGATCCTTTACGGAGGAAGGGTTTTGATTCCAGAGGCACAATGCTGCTTTTCTTGGTCATCTTGTTGTAGAAACTAGGCTTTGATTGGATAGGACAATCTCCAGCAGCTGCTGCGACTTTAGTTTTTGTTGTTTTTCCACATTTTGTCGCTGTTTGCTGCACCCTTTCTGTTGCACCCTTCAGGCTCCTGTCAGTGTTAGCCTGACTTTCCTTCACATTTCTATGACGTGGCTGGGATCTTTCTACTTTGGCGCTTGATCGATGAATGGATGGTGCTGAGTGAGGTTTCCGACGTGTCGGCGTGGTACCAGCAGATGAGATGCCTGGAGTTTTAGATGGCGATGATCCTGCAACTCTAGCTGAAGGTGCTGATGGCCATGATTTACGAGTAGCAGGCAAGTTAGATGCTTTAGATGAAACCTTCCCTGTAACAGAAGCTTTTGGTTTCTCATTCCTAAGATTTGCAGGCTGAGATGGATTCTTGAGTGACTTTTGAGGTTTAGGTGAAGGATGTTTTTTACTTACATCCTTCACACTTCTGGAGGTCATTTCAGCCTTACGATCATCAAGAATTTTCTGCATTGCTCTAAATCGTGCTTCTTTTTCTGCTTTCTTTCCAGCATTCTCTCCTCGAAGTTTCTCATCCCTCTTCTCCTTATAGTGATCATAAAATCCACCTCTATGCTCAGAAGGGATATTCTGGTTTCTGCTACTCTGAGGCTTCCTGGTTCTCACAGGCTGACTTTCCATCATTTTCTTCAGCATCTGGTTCAATTCTGCCTCTTTCTGTTGATTCCAGTCTACTGATGATGTCGACAACCCATTACTTTCCTGACCTTGCGTTGCATTACTGTCCATTTGAATGTCCACTGAATCATGTGCTCTTTTTTCCAATTTCCCTGATTCTACATTGACCTTAGTAGTGTCAGGGGGGTTTTGAAATCCAGACGTAAAATCAGACTCCAATTTTTCTTCTACTGGAAGATTTGAATTCTCTCCATCCACAACATCACCACGTGACAACAGGATGGAGTCTTCATAAACGAGTTCTTGACAGGGAACAGAACATTCCACTCTACCAGCACTCCATCTTCTTAACACAGATTTATTTGTAGAGAGAGAGTGATTTGATAATGAGCTCCTTTTTTGAGCATCTGCACTTTGATCTTTCTGTTTGCTTTCAAAAAGATTGATTGCGTCTTGAACAGACATCCTGAGCACATTACTCTCAGGTTTCTTACTGATTTGTTCAGATCCTTCCTCTTCACCATTGTTTCCCGCTACATCTCTATAACATGGATTCCTCTCTCTAGGAGGATAATAACCCAGGCTTTTAATGGCTAATGCAGGAGCCCTGCGTGATCCAGTTCTTCCTATTTGAATCCTTCGCATTGGGGATGCTGACCTTCTTGGTTGTGCAGATCTTGTAAGTACTCGACCTCTTTCTACAGATACCTGATTCTCATCACCCGAGTTAGACTCCTCACTTTCAGTTGAGCTCTGTCGTTCAACTTGGGCAACTACTGCAGGTGAAACACCATACTTTACTGGTGTTTGTGCAGGTATGGATCTTGATATTTGAATTTCGCCATTAATCTTATCTGCATTGTCACTTCTTGACATGCCTGTAGATGAATTCTTGTCATCATTTGTAAGTACAGATGTGTCACTTTTACAGCTCAGTTCCAAGAATTTGGATAAAGAATTCCTGCAACATAAAGTGCCAAAAATTGAAATTTAGCAAGCATAATTATTTCCAGCAATCATTATAATTATGTAGTCATTAAAACATAAAGAGAAACGACATAGTGCAGCCGCAATGAGAAATATTTTGAAGGCCGAAACAGACGGGAATTTATAGCGTAATGCATATGTTGATGAATCTTACTTTAAGTCTGTTGCACCAAAATGATCACAAAAGTAAATTAAATTGATAACATCTTTAGAGGAGAAGGTTGCAGTCTGGTTTAGACTGGCAGCTAACTCCTTTCTCAATGCTGTGAGCCTCAAGTCCATAGCTCGCAATAATTCATCCCTAGGAAAACAATTTTCCATGGCTCAGTGGAGATGCAGCTAAGATAAAGCCCACAGGGTAAAAGTAGCCACAAAAAGGACTTACTTTGAAGTATCTGATGATGCAATTTTTTCTTCAGGCTATACATAGGTTTGCAACAAAAACACATTCATTTTCAGTAAGAATGAGTTAAAGTATCAACAGCTAAGCTTCACAAGAAAATTAAAAAACACATAATTTGTCAACAAATGTATGTGAAAGCAATTACTTTGAATATTGGTGCTGTCTCAATTGAGGTGGAGCCATCTGTCCAAAAAGAAGGGTAGATAAAACTATAAAAATATGTGTTGAATTTTTCAACATACAAATATTTAAGCAAGATCCTATCCTAGCACCATGCCACATCACACCAAAATGCATGTAGAGTGCTAATAACTAAAGTACATCAACATGGAATCAACTTATGTAACTAACTCTTCACTGACACAAAGATTAGAGTTTTTTACATTGGTAAATAAGTCACAGACACAGAACAAGCAAACCAACAATGATACAATTAAAAAGAAATAAGCAGCAACAGATACAAAAGTGGAGAACATCGGGCAGGTAAAGTTACTCAAGTTTACAAGGGACATAACAAAATAGAAGTGAGTTCAATTTCTTTACCAATTTAAGTTCACTAAAAACATAAATTTGAATCCCAAGAAGGATTCTGAGGAAAACTGGTAAGTTTCTAAGCAACTTCCCAATCAATGAGAAGCTTATTCATTAACTAAAGATCCAAGGGTAGGTTACGATCCTGGCTCAAGAGGTGCCTGTCCCAATGCTAAAGAGGAACTCAGCTATCCACTTAGGTTCTTAAATAAAGCAAAAAAAGTACAGTTGTATCAATCATTAATGAACAATTTATAATTCTTAGAAATAATATAAAACAGGGGCATTAGAATCTCAGTATAGCATCTTGAATTAATAACCACCATTTTATTGCTTCCAAACCATATTTCTTAGAAGTGCAATATAAATTATTATTACAGTTCCACAGGCTTATGAACACATTATTCTAATAATCTTTTCACATGTACGATGAAGCATTCACTCTTCCTTTATTCTCATTCCTTAATACTCTACTATGTTTAGATGAATGATTTGAAGACCTATATAAAATTAGTTATACATTTTCCATCACATTCAGGCTAATTTTGCTTGGGAACTCAAAATTCAATATCCATTCACTTACAAGGTGACCTATAATGACATAAACATGAATTTTACAAGTCTTGACAACATTGAACACATACACAATATCCTGATAGAATTTCACAATCAATAAGAAGATACACAACTAAAAGACATGCTTTTATGGAGAAAAAAGGGAAAGAAGAGAAAGGAGGTTAGATTTTTCATCACTTTAAGCTCTGTGATATTCTTTTACTTCATGCATGATATGCAATTTAATGATTTCATGACACTCAAAATTGACGTTTAATACATGCAAACACTTTCACATATTTAGATGATCAATGACACCTCCCCTTTTCTTTCTCATTTCACTCATTACTTTTAAGGATACTAAGAGGCTTTATGACTGCAGGTTTCACTAGTGATGATAAGAAGAAGAGTATTTGGCACAATGTGAAATTATTTCTGGAAAATTCTTTAGAATATTTTTTTATTTTTTTGGGCAAAAGCTGGCTGTTTCTTTTCTGCCCCAGATGCCCTTCAGAACTCTCCTTCCAAATTAATTCCTCTCTTTGGTACTTGATAAACTACCAATAAGAACTCAATGATAGAAAATACTATACAAACTGCAAGCTCAATCTTTGTCTAGACAAGATACCTTTTTCCGCACTTACTAAATGATCCTTGCGCCCCTGACAGAAGAAAATTTGGGTTAACTAGACAGAAATATTGTTGCAATCTAGCATTATTAATTATTATTATTATTACGATGATGATGAAGGCTTTGAAATATGACCTGAGCATATAAACAAAGATGAAATTTTCTGGCCTCCTCCAATTGAGTCATTTCACCTTCAATGAGCTTACATGAAATCAATAATTCCGGGGAAGCAACAAGTTGGAGAAATCTAAGAAAAAAAATTGTATAAGGATTGTAACAATTGGAGTAGGTATCCATATTCCTCCACTAACTGAGGCAAACATGAAAAGTTGGGGAATGGTAATAAAAACCCAAGAACCTGTTTAAAGTTGACTTTGTGAACCATGTTTTCTCGTCGAGTCCTACTACTTGAAGTTTGAACTTAGCATTAGAACCTATGCTGTGCAAATTGTTCACTCCTGGTAAATGTGGCGAGAGTTGTTCCAGCAACCCAATGGCTAATTTCTCCACCTCATCATCACTACAAATGAATACCTCATATCTAAAATAGTATAGAACATGTTAGATAGTTCATTTACAGCATTGAGGAAACTGTAGGGAAAACAAATGCAGAAATGCCTAAATAGAATACATATATAAACGGAGGAGATAACCATAAAGGTTGCAACAAAAGCCAAGTTGTAGTTGCATAACACATCTATCATTGATTCATAAGTTCCACCAATATATTTTCACATGCATGCACAATATACAAAAAGAAATGAAATGCAGTCCACCATCAGCACGATCATCGCGATTGTGGTAAGTACAAAATGTAAGATTTTAAGTGTTCTCCAGAGTTCAAAGACAACTTCAAACACACACCTGTTCTGAGCTGGAAAAATGTCAATGGTTGCATAATCTAAAGGTGCATCAGCATCTATGCCAGACTCCATTCCAACAACCTGTAAGAAAGGAAATTTAATCTTTGCCAAAAAGAAAAGGCCAATAGTATTTCTTTTCTTTTTCCAAGATATGCAATGATTAGAAAAAAATGAAAAAAATATGAATCGCTATAATTCTTAGTAATGTGCAAGCCAGTTGCTGGGATTCAAGAGAACGTCATACATCAAATGCCAACTTATTTTGCTTATAAATAGCAAACATCCAATAAGAGAACACACACAATTTCACGTGAAGAATATAATAAATATAAGATGTGAAAGACACCAATTGGACATGGACGTTGATCAAGACTATACAGAATTAAGATGCTTGGAAGCAGACTATCGAGAATTTTTTTTTTCTTTTGGGAAAACATTTATTGTGATTTTGAAATGGCATTGGGGTACATTGCCGATTTGTGTAGAGGATTAAATTGCCAGGAGAGATAGAATCAGGGTAACGAAAATGTATCGATGCAGCTGAGCTACTGTCAGTGAACGCACTGAGCTTAGTTGCTTATGTAATTGCATAGGACATGATAAGAAGTAAAGGGAGAATAGGATCCTATCAGTAGAAAACCAATGTTGATTGGGCACATGCAGCTACCAAAACCCTGCTTATGAATGCCAACTTTAGTAATCAGGATCTAGTTTCCTGCAATACCTAAGGCTTTCCATAAATCAAGAAAAATATAATGAGCAAAATGAAAAAAATAATTCAATCTTTGGAATAATGCTGGATTCAAAACAGTCACCTATGTTCAGAAGTAGAATTTGGAAGAACAAATAGTTGAAACTGAGGTAAGAAATAACCCCTGAGCCGAAGGAGAAAATTTCAGAGAAATGCAAATAAGAAGTAACGAGATAGAGAAGAAGAAGAAGGTCCAGTTGCTTGGTTAGAGTAACAGCCAATATCTGAAATAATTTTAAGCATAGAAGTTAGATCTAGTGAACGAAAGGTCCTATCTTTGACAAAAGGAAACAATTTAAGAGGAGTAAGAAAGAAAAAGAAGCAGTCACATACCGACAAGAATAGAGTGTTGAAGGAAAAAGCGGTGCACAGCGACCGGAGCGGGAGGAGTTACTACTACTGGGTTCTCATTAGCTAAAATTTGACCAACTGCTTTTGCATTACAGAAAATGTTAGGTGAAGACTATGAAAATGTGGGAAAGAAAAAAATGCAGATTTTGGCTCACCTGAAGCTTAAGAGACAAGGTTACCTCCAAATCTCTAACGCGAGAGAAAGATCTTGATTTGTACTCTTTAAAATATTAATACTCACTGCATATAATCTTTGATTTTTCAATTTTAGCGTTAGTAAAAACGAAAAAGATAAGCTGGTGGATTTGGGATGGAAAAAACCAAATAAGAAAGAAAGAGCTCAGTCACTCGCAGTCGCAGCTAAACTGAAGACAACTATTTTTCTGAAATAATATAAAAATATGGTAATATATAGAAGAGTCGCGCATTATATTTTCTTATGCCAGCTAATGTGTCAGTCCAGATATACTGGAGGAAATTCAAACGTGGTTCATTGAGAACAACCCCGTTGCACGCTCTATGTCACTGTGCGATCATGATACTGTGCAAAATGAGAAACCAAAACTGCAACAATATTCATTCGATTGTCCCAAACTATCGTATAATACTCGGATCATAAATGTCTATAACCCACAATTGTAGAGATGTTTTAAACCCGAGCAAATTCTCTTCGCAAACACCGGTTTGAGAAAATAATAAAAATTAAAAGTGCATAACAAGAATGATATAGAAACGACATCCAAACCATGAAATGAGAGGAGACAGAATTAGAACTACAGAGAACATCCATACAGAAAAATCTTTAAATACGCATGTGCTGGAACGCACGAACTATCGAGAAATTATGTTTAATTATATTGTCTCTGTGGGAAAAACATTTATTGTGATTTGAAATGGCAATTGGGGTAATGCCAGATTTGTGTAGAGGATTTAAATTGCCAGAGAGATTTAGAAATCAAGGGTAACGAAAAAATTGTATTCGTATGCAGTACTGAGCTACTGTGCACGTGAACGCACTGAAGTCTTAGTTGCTTTATTGTGAATTGCATATCGATAGGACGGGATGATAAGAAGTAACAAGGAGAATTAGGAATTCCGTATCAGTAGAAAACCGGAATGTGATGTGGGCGACATTGCAGCTACGCAATAAACCCTGCTTATGTTAATGCCATACTTTTAGTTAATCAGGATCTAGTTTCCTGCAATACTAAAGGCTTTCCATAAATCACAGGAAAAATATAAATGGAGCAAAATGATAAAATACTAGTATTTCAATCTTTGGAATAAATGCTGGAATTACAAATAACATGTCACCTATGTTAGAAGTAGAATTGGAAGAACAAATGTTTTGAAACTGCTACGGTAAGAAGATTAACCCGAGCCGAAGGAGAAAATGTGTCAGAGAAATGCAAATAAGTAAGTAACTCGAGTTAGAGAAGAAGAAGAAGGTCACAGTTGCTTGGTTAGAGTAACAGCCAATATCTGAATTAAATTTTAAGCATAGAAGTTAGATCTAAAAGATGAACGATAAGGTCCTATCTGTGACAATAGGAAACAATTAAGTAGTAGAAGAAAGAAAAAGTAAGCAGGTCACATACCGGACCAAGAATAGTTAGTGTTGAAGAAAAATGCGGTGCACTAGCTGTACCGGAAGCGGGAGGGTTTATCTTACTACTTGGAGTTTCTCATTTTAGTCTCCTAAATTTTTGATCAACTGCTTTTGCCATATACAGGAAAATGTTAGGTGAAGGAGACTAGAAAATTGTAGGAAAGATAAAAATCGCTAGATTTTTGGAATCCCTCACCTGCGAAGCTTATAGAGACAAGGGTTACCTCCAAATCTTCTAACGCGGAGAGAATGATCTGATTTTGTACTCTTTAAAATATTAATACTCACTGATATTAATCTTTGATTTTTCAATTTAGCTGAGTAATCAACGAAAAATGATAGAGCTGGTGGATTTGGGATGGAACAAACCCAAAATAGAGATAGTAATAAGCTCAGTCCACTCGCATCGCAGCTAAAACTGAAGACAACGTATTTTTTCATGAAATAAAATTATCATATAATATATATTATATATATACTTATATATATATATTATATATAATATTATAATATATATATTATATATATATAATTCTTGAAATTTCATTAATGTCTAATTCCATCCAAAATTAATTTTCGGAATAGTTTAAAGTACAAACTTTAAGTTTAATAAGATATTAAATGATATTAATAGTTTTTATTTTCTTTTCAAAGAAAAAAAAATAAGATATTAGATTTTCTATTTGTAAAATATTTTTATAATAATAAATATTTAAAAAATAAAAATAGAAATGAAAGCCATATCAAATTCCTTTAGTGAGGCTGTAGGTGAAAGTAAAAGATAAAATAGTCATTTCTAATTTTATTTTTAACTTTTAAAATATTTTTATTATTTAAAAGAATTAACATTTATCACTTTGCAGTATAAACAAAAACAAATTAATTATAAATGGAAATTTTCTATCTTAAGTTAATTTGGAAACAAATTAATTATCCAATAAAAATCAAAGTTTTCGTCTAGAAAAAGAAAAAGAAAAAGAAAAAAGAAAGAGAAAAAAGCTACAGCAAAGGAAAAGAAGTTGCTTGCGTTCCCAATCCAACCACAATAATGCGAGGATATTATGCGCGTTGATGTCACGCTCCCCTTGTTTGTCTTGTGCCTTGTCCCTTCTTGTCTCTGTGGAGGAGAAAAAACGAAATCCGTACACCGTTATAATAATTGCTGCTACTATTTAAAATTTACAATGACCATTGTGTTGTGTGTTCTCCCAGCAGAAAGCTTACCAAATCGTAAAGCATCGGATCTATTATTCATGTCCATGTGAACTGCAATCAATAGCCACCAATACCATTAAGGCTCAATGGTCCAGCATTCCTCCATGAAATGTCAATCCAAACATATCGTAATTGTGAATGTTTAGCTTCCTTGAACCTTTCAATCCTTATAAAAATACGATTTATTACCATCTTAAATCTACAACATTAGAATTTAGAT